ACTCTCTCTCTCTCTCTCTCTCTCTCTCTCTCTCTCTGTACTTTCGGGTAACGTCTGCGCAGTTGTGGAGATGTAGAGCAGTTTTCTATTTTTACTGAATCCCAACGCTCATTTTGTGGAGAAAAACCCTTGCTGAGCTACATTTTCACAGCACAGTAAAAAGTAAAACGTGAAGCTAGCGGTAAACACGCAGTTTATAAAATGCTCTTTCAGGCAACCATTCCGTTCCAATATTTTCATACTGGGGTTTGACATTTCGACTGTTGCAGTAGGCACTGCTCCGTCATCAAAGTTTTTTTTTTAGTCGAATGTCAACTTGACACCCCTCCCCTCTCCCCAGCCTGTTAAAATAGTTAAAACGCGTCTTTTAGGCATGCCGTCACGGTGGCATGAATGTTGCCCCTCGAGAATGGAGACCCTAGTGCCTACTAGGTCAAGTAAGTTCCGAATGGAAGGCTCAAGTTGACTCTTACCGTATTTATTCTACCGATAATAATAGAATCTTTGTTTTGATGCATTTTGATGTCAGAGCAAGATGCTTCTTCAATTAATCAAGCTACAACGTACGAAGAAATGTCAGAGTTTCAGCTAGACTAGCGCCGTGGAGCGATCCACGATCGACTTCATGTACATCTGATGTACGTTGCGGTTCTGGGTCTTCTTGACTCAATCGCGTTTTCAACAGACAACGTTGTTGTTTTTTAAAACAAATTCTTTCTCTTCCAATGACAGACTAGCGAAAACTTCCCTGTTCGTTCAGCACGGGCACTCTTGCTTCTTCCCTAGTTCTAAATTTGACTGCAGGTAAACATTTGTGCGTCGTCCAAACGTTTTTTTTTTCCAGGTGAAATTGACCTTTACCCCTTTTTCTTTTCTTCAGGACCTCAGAGGAGTTGTTTTAAAAAAAATAGTTTATCTATACACATACAGCACAGATTTGCACATATCCACACACGTACATACTCCCGCAGTCACGCATATGGACACACACATCACATACATAAACATACTCCTACATCACAAAAGTAAGCAAACACTCCAAAGAACACACGTTCACATACATCTCTGACACACACACACACACACACACACACACA